GACAATAATATTAACATTGATTGTATTTGACAGGAATGAGTGATTACACGAAGTGTTTCTACTGTGACGGCGGTCTGTCTAATTGGGAGCCGGGAGACGAGCCGTGGACAGAACACGCCAAATGGTTCCCCGACTGTCGCTTCGTTGTGCTCAACAAATCGCAGGCATTTGTCGATGAATGCAAACAAATGCAAGTCAACGAAAGGCACACCAATTCCCTCAATGAGAACGAATCCGATCCCGAAATATACAGCGATTACGACTCCGACGAAGAATCGGTGAACGCGTTGGGCATCCGTGCCGTCAATGAATGGATGAATACAGATATTGTGCTCCAAATAATGGACATCAATGTGGGAACCGTTGATCAGGTGAAGGCTGTGCTCAACAAAAGATGGCACGAAGTGAGACAACCGTATACTTCGTTCGCTCAGCTCTACGATGCGGTCACTTCCCAACGCAGGAGTGATTCAAATGTACAAAAGTATGTATTCATTGATTTGATTGTTAACTTTTGTTTACTAATGTATTTGATTTGTGCCATTAGTTTGATAAACCGAAACCAAAGCGTAGAGGAGACCCACAATTCGGATGATCTCTACAGCAGTTCCAGTGATGACGACTATCATTCTGGTGGAGAAGAGCTGCCGAACTCTCAGTCGTCGCTGTCGTCGACCGCATCGTCACTATCCAACTATTCTTCGTCACCCGAAGTGTCGCCAATTGATTGTGAATCGAGTCGTGTGGAAGACAATCGTTTATTGTGTAAAATATGTTTAGACCGCGAGATAGGAGTGGTGTTCCTCCCGTGCGGCCATCAGTTGGCGTGCACTCAATGCGCCCCCTGTGTGGCCGACTGTCCCATATGTCGCAAAGTTATTCGCGGGACAGTTAGGACTTTCTTCTCATGAATACTATTCACATATTCATTATATTGAGCACTCATTACACATGTCTATAGAGTCCTAATTTTGTTTAAATTTCAACTTCTTTTGTAATTTTAAACCAAACAATTAATCCAAAACTTCTTTCAAAAATTGTATTTCTTTTCAATTAAACGTTTCTAATATTGTTTTTTACTAAACTTTTTTTAATTTGAGAATAACGCCGGGAATAGCGCTTTCATTAGTGACACAATTTGATTTAAGATGA